TTTGTCTTACGTAACATCTTCAGATGAGCATGGTTACCCTGTGGGCACAACATTTGAGAGTTACTTTTTCCAATGTGGGGAGCCAATTTCTTCCAAAACCTTACTGACGGGATATCTCATGTTATAGCTCAAGCATATTGTTGTTCCTTCTGGTAGCTTTGATGCATTGCCAAGAGAGGTGGTATTCTCGGCCGTTTGTTTGGTGTATGACCGTTCATATGCTCTCCTTCCTGCCATGATCGCTTGTATCCATTGGGGATTGCGGCAGTTGTGTTATAATTTCTGCCACGGTGCTGAGAACCCACTGGTGGAATTACCCTACGCTTATCTCATGGCGTGGTTCGTTCTGCACTGTGCTCCACTTATGAGCGCACCTTCTGCTCATATAGAAGATCAGATTACTCCTTTTATTCAGAGATTGAAAAACTCAGATTGGAATAAGCATTAAATGATGATGATAATACGTGCACTTAGTGACCATGAGAATTATAAGTTCAACCTGTGTTTTCCTTATTTTACCGGTACCAGCTATGGCCAAGCTATAGTAGACGAGTCAAATGGTCAGGGTTACACTACCTTATCACTCGGTTGCTTCATGTGGCTCATGAGCATTCATCCTGGGTATCTCATTTATCATTTCAGCCATGTGTGTATATTAGAGTCTTATATGTCTTGTCGCTTTGCTCGCTAATTTGGCTATGACCAGTTGCATATTGGCAACCCCAACACTCAATTGCAGGCTGAGGGTTGTAGTCTAATTATTAGAGCAAGAGCTTGGTTTTGGACTATCGCCGGAGGTACAAGTGCTCGTTTCTCACTCCCACAACAGAATCCTCGACCCCAAACAACACTTGCTTATTGCAAGTGGTATTACATGGTGAATGCGGCGATCCCAAACTTTAATATCAACTCTTCGGGACTACGCTTCATTCGACGTCGTTATAGATCTGGGCACACTTCTAAGAAGAGTCGCATGCCAGGGCTTAAAGAGTTCTTATATGCCGAGAAAAATACTGGGATGGAAGAATCTCGCCTTTCAAGTTGATAATCACATTTTATTACAATTTTATACCCTCATTATCTATTTTATATGAATAAATACAGCACTAATAATTGCTTTTATCTTTAATTGCAGAATAAATCCCAAAAATCCCATCTCTCAACAAAGACCCTTGAATAAATTAATCACATGTGTGCAAGGAACCGGATTTGGACTTGGACTTTTATGCGAAAAACACAAGCTGCTACAGTGGACCGGAACTTTGAAAATCACAAGTTGCTTAAAAATGAATTGCAAAGTTTGATTTTTAAGGCCGGACTTGGATCAAAAGAATTGGGCCAGACTTTCTTCACAAATCAAATGGAAATGCAATGTGGGCCGGTTGATTTTCATTGGACTAAGCTCTATGGGCCTACCTATGTGCTGCAGTTTTGTTTTGAAAATCAAATGGGAATGCATTGAATGGGCCGGTCATTGATCAATTGATGGGCTTAAATTCGAAATTCAAATCAAGACTTATGGACTTAGGAAAGAATGATAACCGGAGGTTTTTAATTGAACCATTGCTGTGGATTTTTCTCTCTTCATGGACCAAATAATAGGTTGCTGGGGACTTTGAAAATCAAATGCTTTGATATTGCTTGCTGGACCGGACTTTTTGAAGTGAACCAAGGCTGCAAATGTACAAAATCAAATAGGCCAAACTTGCTTACATGAATAAACGACTTGGGCTTGCTTGGAATTTTGAAAATCAATCTAATGAAGATTAGGCCTTGGAAAAGTCAAATGAAGATTGGAAAATCAATTCAAAGGTGGAGATTTGAAGATGAAGATGGAGAATTATTTGAAGGTTTGCATTTCTTTCCTTTTTCTCTTTTATTTCTCTTTTATTGCTTATTAGTTAGATTTATTTTCATGCTTGTAATTAGATTTTATTTTTCTTGTTAAATAGCCAAGAGGCTAGAACCCTCTTGCCTTAGATTTATTTCATGCTTCTAGAGTAGATTTATTTTCGTGCATTTAATTCTTGCAATTTTATTTTATAGTTTAGATTTTGCAATTTATTTTGTAGTTAGATTTTAATTTCTTGCACTATTCACCTTGAGGCTAGAACCCTCTTGGGTTTAGTTTTTCTTTTTGTTTATTTTTATTTTGTTTGATTCGCCTTTAGGCTAGAACCCTATAGGGAATCACCATTTTCTAAGAAGTGGGTTCAATTGTAGATTACTCATATCTATAATTGAATCCACCATCTTTAATTTCTTGCATTTTCTTTTATTCTAGAATTTTGTTCTTCATTCTTGATTTTTTTTATTCATTTTTCCTTCTCACCTTATTGTTCATACTCACTCTCATTTACACCTTGCACCTATTTACACACCACTTTCACTCTCTCAATCTCTTCACAATCACATTCACTTATCATTCCTATTTGTCACGCACACAACATAAGAACCGATTTCATATTTTCTCCTACAAAACACCTTCCTCGTGGGATCGATATCTTAAATACTATAACTTGACACGGTTGTGCACTTGCAACCTTTTTGGGTACATGTTTATGCCGCATCACAAGTCCTCATGAAACTCAAGAAGAGATGGATGTGGCTCTGGATGAGGGCACACTTCAGAGATCTCCCTACATTGACGAGTACGGGAGTCACATGCCTGCCGCTGCTGGTATGGGTGATGCTCTAAGAGAGGAAGCGGAGCCTGGCGATTTTGGGGATTTTGCTCAATTTGATGAACCTCATGAGCATCTTCAACATGATGCTTTTGAGAACATACCCCGCCCACTAGTTCCACTATAGAAGGCTCTCTTCAGCAATCCATTGCTATTGAAGAACCACTTCCTGACACGGGGATCACTGGTATGCCAACTTTAACTCATTTTAAGTTTGATTTATTCTCCTCTAACATTTCTTATGCAAGACAAACTGCAAAAGTTGAGGCTTCGAGGCAAGTAGAGGAGAATTTCAAGGTGTTGTGCCTGAAGCTCTTTTGAGGAACCAAACCAAACGCCAATCCAAGAGAGCCAAACGAACCAAATATCAATGCACAAACAAAACACCAATTTTAACGTGGTTCGGCAAGTTGCCTACGTCCACGGGGCAGGGGGGATGGGGTTTTCACTAATAGAGAAAGAGTACAAACTGAGATTACAAATCACTCGAAGGAACAAACTAATCTCATCAACAAAACTCTTAATCTCTCCAAATAAAACCCTAAACAAAAATAGCTCAAAAAATACCTCTTTTGTGCTCCAAATAGCCCTCAATCAATGCTTAATCAAAGCCTAAACCAAGCCTAGGAAACCCTAAAAACGTGTCTCTATTTATAGCAAAATACAATCCCAAACTGATTGGGATTCTAAAAACGAGTCTGCCACACCCTGCACCATGGGTGTGGCAGAGGGTGTGGTGCAGGACAGATTCTGCCACACCCTGCACCGTGGGTGTGCCAGAGGGTGTGGTGCAGGACAGATTCTACCACACCCATGGCAGACACCACACCAGGGTGTGGTGGAGTCTGTTTTGGGTTATTCTTCACGTTTTTCACAATTCCTTCGCCGTTTTCACACAAGGAACCCGGACTAATGCGCAAGTCCAAACGTCTCGCAAAGAAACAAAGGCGAGAGGCTCCTTTAATTATTGCTCCTTCAACAGAGCCGATCAAAGTCGAGACCGAGTCAGGATCTGAGGACAACATTCCTTCTATCTCGACTTCATATTAAACTGCGTCCTGCACCAAGCACAAATGACGGGGACACTCCTGTTGATCCTGGTAAGATAAATATGCATTTATTTACCTTTCTAGATCTTTAGGGCGCTGATAATGTTGCTCATTGCTTTTAGTTGTTTCCACCAAAGTTGTCGTCCCTACTAGTGTGGGTATCGAGGCAGAACTTACTCCCGGTGGATCGGATGCAGTTGAAGTTACTCCGAGCACTGGTGTGGCTGATGACACAACTTTTGCTCTTGACGTAGCCACGAAAGCTGAATTTGTTCCGAATACAATTGTTGAAATTGAAGCTGACGTGAGCACAAGTATCGCGTCCGCCATTTCTATCACCCCGACGGAAGTTCACACCCCATTAGCCACCAT